GTTACTGGGGGGAGGGGGGGGGGAAAGGGTGGTTGGGTTATGGACATTGAGGAGGGTATGTGCTATGGTGAGTGCTGTGAAGTGTTTAAACCTGGCGATTCACAGACCTGTACCCCTGGGGTTAATAATACATTATATGTTTATTTAAAAATTTTTAAAAATTATTTTAAAAAATTCTGTTGCTCTAGAACCACTTTCAATACCAAAATCTGTAATAGTCAGTCTTCTCCAGAGAAATAGAATACTGTGTGTGTGTGTGTGTGTGTGTGTGTGTGTGTGTGTGTGTGTGTGTAGAGAGAGAGAGATTAACTATTAGGAATTGGTTCATATGATTATGGAGACTTAAGAATCTCCAGATCTGCAATCAGCAAGCTGGAGACCCAGGAGAGCTGATGCTGTAATTCCAGTCTGAGTCTTTAAGACCTGAGAACTGGAGAGCAAATGGTATAGTTCCAGTCCAAATGCTGGCAGGCTCAAGATCCAGAAAAAGCTGATGTTTCAATTCTATTCCAAAGGCAGGAAAAATGACTCTAGATTGAAGGCAATCAGATAGGAAGTAACCCTCTCACTCCCAGGAAGGTCAGCCTTTTTGTTTTATTCAGGTATTCAACTGGGATCCACGCAAAACTGATTGGATGGGAGGAGCTAGAAGTCATGGAGATAGAGCAGATGGGAGCCAGGGTGCCTATGCACACGTGAGCACTCACCTGGTATGTTCAGGCCCTGTACAGTAAGGGCGGGAGGAGGTGTGGCATTGGCCACACCCTTCTGGCAGGATAGCCCTGGCACTGAGCTGGAAGGCAGGCCCTGATTCCGGCTCTAGGCCACCACTCCTGGGCCTCCACTATGACTGTATCACTGCAGAAGCAGGTAGACTTACCAGCCCCCTAGTGGGCAACTAAAGAAGGCACCTGATCCTGACCCCAGAGACTTACCCCCTGCCCTCCCTCTCCTTGGTGCTGTACCTACCCCCAGATTGTCCAGGGGCCAGTTCCCTTACCTCCCAGGTCCCAGGCTGTAATTCCCAAACATATAGTATGCTAACAGAGGATCCTATTACCACTTATCTTTCTCCCTCAGTCCTATGATATGATCTGTAAACTCAGGTTTGAAGTCAGAGAAAACTGTGATTATCAATGGCACTGTAAGAGAGGTGAAGTATGTTAGAAGACAATCACAGACTATGTGGTTTACACAGAATCAGCCCAGAGTCTGGATTACTGGGGAAGTGTGAAGCTGCTGGTCCATGTGTGAGGCTGTCCACTCATATTTGTTATCTCTGACCAAGGGGCAGTTTGAAATTCAATATACACCATGGCTGAGGTGGACAGCCTTTGTAGAGTTATTTCCTGAAATATCTGATGCTTTGGAAAGCTTTGAATCTCCTGCTATTTCTTTTAGCTTAATGAAACTGACAGCATGTCTACAACAGGCTTCGGGTGATATATTTTTACTGAACAGGAAGGAATGTCCCCCCTTTAAGAGAGAAAGGGCATGCAGTGGGGTGTATGTGGGAGGGAAGTAGGGGCAGAGGGAGAGGGAGAGAACTCCAAGCAGACTCTGCCCTGAGTGCAGAGCCCCATGCAGGGCTCTATCCCAGACTTTAAGATCATGACCTGAGCCAAAATCAAGTCAGATGCTCAACGAAACAGGTACCCCAAGAAACCCCCTTTTAAGAGATCTGCTTGCATCTGAGGAGCTTGCTAATACATAGCAGATATACTACGAGTCTTCATTGGATCTCCATGTGGACTCAATCTACATAACATCTTGTGTCATGTGTTTGTGTCCCCTCAAGAAATCCCTCCAAACTACTGTTCAGTAATGACACTGTTGACAGAAGGATTGGGTCAGCTGCTGAAGAGTTACCTGCAATAAACTAAACTTGCACTGGCATACTGACCTTTCCTAGCTCTTACAAACCTGGAGGATTTGGCTGTATTCCCTGCTGCTACTTCTGAGGTACTTTCAGTAATAGAAGAAATGATGAAGAAATACACTGTTATATTAAAAGTCCTCTTCCTATACTGATTAGTCACATGAATCAAGTTCAAGCTACACAGCTTTGCCAACTGTGCCATGTTGTTATTGACACAGCTAGAGATAAGACTTAGGAGAGTTTTGCCATTAACAAATGTCCGCAAAGACTTCTGACTGCTGAGTCACCAGCTCTTTATACCACCTGTGAGGAAATACTGGCAAAACACTTGAATGATGGTAAAAATCAAATTCCTGCAACAGAATTTCTTTGGTATTTCCTGAACCATCAGGAGAGTCTCCATAGAAGAGGTCATTTAAGCCATGGGGAAATCAACTTATCCAAATTTCCAAAAGAAGCAGCAAATCAATTGCTTGCATCTTCCATTGTACTTTTACTCATTCATCCATCTTCATTGATGAAGATCCATTATCAAGTTTTAAGGAAAAAGCAGTAATAAAATCATTAGTAGGTCTTGCAGGCTAGAGTGTTTCCTTCCATCCAGTTTCTCAGCTTAAAAAAAAAAATGTGCTAAGTTGTGAGAAGAGCATCATAAGCATTTGGCCTCTCCTGCCTTTGCCTGAAGAAGCTGGGAAGCTGTGGCACCACCATCCTAACTCTTTTCAGTTCTAGAACCATTCTGGAAGTGCTCATCATGCTTTGAAGCACACACTGCACACCATGTTCAGTCAAGTTACTGCCTCCACGGAATTGAGACATCAGCAGTGGATAGAAAGAAGGTTGTGCTCCAGGCAAAAGAAGTAATATTAAGCTTCTGTATCCTGTGCTTTGCCCAATTTTATCACTGATTGCAACATTCATGTGGTTCATGGAAAAAATTCTTAAGAGTATCTAAAGTTCTTAAAGCTGTTCTTGCAGTACATGGAGAACCTGGTGGCTTACACCAGCCAACAGAACAAATGGAACAAAACTATTCATCTTACATGGACAGCCTTGTTGAAAATTTGACCTTTAGTGAGAAGAAACAAATGTTAATACATTTAGCCAAGAAATCCACAAGTAAAGGTGTCTTACGAAAATACTTAATAAGTCAAGAACGTTTTTGGCGACATCAAAAAACTCAGGCTGAACAGGCTTTACCAACATGGAAATTGAAAATCCAATGACAGGGTGGATTCCAAGGTCTGTTTGACTAAGGATCAAGTTCTGTTTCTCTATAGCCTTCTCATTTGCTGTTCCTGAGTTTGTGTGAACCTCCCGTTGCATGCCCTCCTGGAACCAAGTGGCCACAGCAGCTTGGTCCCTCCACCATGACACAGTGTCCAGAGGAGGGGGAACTTTTTACCCAGATGTCACCCAGAAATCTCTTGGAAACTGTCACTGTGGCCAGGACCCTCCTCCTATACTCACTGGCCAGGCTGGGTAGGCATCCACTCCTGAGCCATCACTGAGGCACAGAGAAAAAGCTTGAGTCAGTCTGGCCTCATCCCTGGAGCTGAGAATAAGGTTGGATGATCCAGATCCCATGGGACAGAGCTGAAGAGGAACAGCTCCTGGAAGGTATGGTGGTCAGATGTGGTACCAGGCAGCAGGTTTGCTGGTCCGTTTGTAGCCAGGAAAACAGGAGCCCTGGCATGTGTCTGGGTATGGAGGGTTTTGTAAAGGAGCAGGGAAAGCTGGCGGAGCAAGGGTCAGGGTTGCAGCTACGCCAGTACACCTCGGAGAGCCAAAATCTGCAATTCTCAAGAGCTCACTGGGCCACTGCAATTGTCTGGAACAGCTGGAAAGCCCCTGACATCTCTCTCAGGGGGCAGCAGCACAGCCAGAAGCTCTCAGGAACCCCTCTGAGGCTGTCCTGCACCCCAGGTCCGTGTATGCGCTAGGCTGCACACAGTGAATTACAGCCCCTTCACTTTCCAAACCTCCCTGGCAGGTTCTAGCCCACAGCTCTCCAAGGAAGGCCATTCACCATATGTGTTTCTGGCTTCTCTGCTGTCAGAGAATAGTGCCAAGGAGACCTCAAAGGAAAGGAGTGGTTCTATGCAATGACGGACATTCTAGCTCACTCTATCCATCCCTTTGCCAACTCAACACCCACCACCCCTTTTAAACTAAACTCTTATGCAAAAACAGAGCACTAAGCTTTTGCTGCTGTGATATAGACTTCTCTCGTCCAAGTGTAGACCCCAGTTCTCATATGTTGTGTTTCTGCTCCTGGGACATTTTCTTTTGCAGTGTCTCCTTTGCACTCTAATTTAAATGATGATTTATAGGATTAACTACTTTTAACCCTCCTTATGTTAGAGCTGGGATGGAACAGAGGAAATAAAAAGAACTGATATTTACCAAGCCCATGAAAAAAAGCAAACAAAAAACATACAAAAAAAACTGACTGGATGGGACCCACTCACTCTAGGGAGGGTCTACCAGTTCAAATACAAATCTCATTCAGAAACCCTGATAGATACACCCAAAATCTTACTTGACAAAATGTCCAGTACTCTGTAGTACAGTCAGGCTGACATATAAAATTAACCATCACAGACACTAATTAGATTTTAATCCTGACACTTAATACATATATCTTTATTAAAATTTTTTATTTTTTATAAACATATATTTTTAACTCCAGGCGTACAGGTCTGTGAATCGCCAGGTTTACACACTTCACAGCACTCACCATAGCACATACCCTCCCCAATGTCCATAACCCCACCCCCCTCTCCCAACCCCCCTCCCCCCAGCAACCCTCAGTTTGTTTTGTGAGATTAAGAGTCACTTATGGTTTGTCTCCCTCCCAATCCCATCTTGTTTCATTTATTCTTCTCCTACCCCCTTAACCCCTCCATGTTGCATCTCCACTTCCTCATATATCTTATTTTTATGAGAAATTCTGATCAACTGACACAGATCAACTGACATAGATTCACTATTACAAAGACTAATGTTATCTCTTAATATTACTTTTGATTTATCACATATCTATCACAAAAATAAAAATTTTCTCATTCTTTATAAATCATTATAGACTCTCACTTAAGGTAAAGAAGATCATCTTAGGGATATTTCAAGGTACTTTTTATTTCTTAAGATTTTATTTATTTATTTGACAGAGATCACAAGTAGGGAGAGAGGCAGGCAGAGAGAGAGTGGGGAAGCAGGCTCCTTCTGAGCAGACAGCCCAATGTGGGGCTCAATCCCAGGACCCTATTTCAAAGTACTTTAAATATGGAAAAAAATTTTAAGTTTTTTCACACCTGCATATATTCTGAGAGATTATCTAAAAAGATATTTTACAAATCAGCTTAATAAAACAGCAAAAATCATAGTCTCTTTTACTTGACTTGTGAAAAACTGTTTTCTTTAAAGGAATGAATCTTAGGTGGGTAAGTAAAATAATTTTCCACAAATTGACCTCAGATGCCTAGTTTTTCACTTCATGTTGTAACATCATAGTCAATGTTATTATCTATGGAGATAATTATTGAAATGCTTTCATGTTTTGCCTTTTAATTTGATTAAATTAAAGCCAAGTGACTAGTCTTGATATTATTTGTATTTCTTGATTTCCTCCTTTAGCTGTCTACATGGCTATCATACTAGCTGTTCCTGCAACTAACAAAAATATAAATACTATGGTATACTTTTATTACCTAAAATTGTTGAAAGAACTATTATTAGGTGCCAATAAAATCCAATCATGATAAATATATAAAGGATACATGAAGGGGGCGCCTGCATAGCTCAGTTAGTTGAGCACTAGACTCTTGGTTTCCACTTAGCTCATGATCTCACAGTTGTGAAATCAAGCCCCATATATACGTTCTGTGCTCAGTGGGGAGTCTGCAAGAAATTTCTCTCTCCCTTTCCCTTTCCCTCTGGTCCTCCTCCTGCTCAGGGATGTGTGAGCTCTCTCTTGCTCTCCCTCTCTCAAATAAATAAATCTTTTTTAAAAAAGGGCTCAAAATCAATACACTTAAAAGAAACAGAGAATACCTTTAAGCTCAGCAGATATTCACAGACAGCATAACAAATGCCAATACCTTCTTCTGTATTAGTACCTCTGCCAAGTTCATCAATTAATATGAGTGATTTGTTATTAGCATTATGTAGAATGTAAGCTATCTGAAAAATATAATTTTAATATTATTCATTGTAACCAAACAGCTGTCACTACCAACTTAAAAAATGAGGAAAAATCCAGTCTCTTAATTACTTCATCTGAAACTTATTTTTATAAAGCTATCCAGCTAGGTAGAAACTAGCACATTGCTTTTCTTTTAAAAAAATCTCATGACTAATAATTTCAATAGAACAGCTTGATATGTATGTAATAGACACATGCGTATGAGACAACAAAGAGTAAATAACCATTATCTAAAATATTAATGTTTTAGATACAGTGAAATAAAATTAAGCAATGAATTAAGTGTTTAAATAATGCACAGATTGTCATCTTCTTTTCCACAAATGACTAATCAATTGTCATATTATACTCAAAGCTATTTCTCAAGTTTATTTTAACATCTCGATAGCCAGTAAAGAAAGGAAAATTGAGGAAAAAGTATCCAAGTCCATTGATTCCTATTTAAACAAGTAAATATAAATCCATACTCAACAAAGACCAAGACTTTAATTGACAGAAATGTTCCTTCGCCACTGAAGAGTATTAACTTCTTTCTCAAAAATTATAATTACAACCGTTATGTACTCACACAATAGTAAATTTCATGGCTTTTTACCTTTCTATATGACTAAGCTTCTTGAGATCTGGGATCATTTAAAAATATACCTTGAGCACCTAGTACATTGCTATATTCTCCCACAGCTACCCCAGTACACCTCAGAGAGCCAAAATCTGCAATACATACTAAATAATTATGTAAAAGTCACATATGGTAGCACAAATAATAACTATTCTCGCCCTTTCACAAAAAGTTATTCAACTCCACAGTGATCCATTAATTCCTACCTACTGAAGACAGCCCAAGAGCTATATTCAATACATTTAGTCCTTCAAAACTATTTAATATTTGTTCAGATCAGAAAAAGGTGATGACACATACTTTGTTATACAAAGTGAAGATTCTAAAGGGGCACACAAGAGGGTGATTTTTAAAAGCATTCTAACACAGTGATCTATTATTTTAAAATCAAACCTAACAGGAACAACAGATACAATGCAATGGTCCTGAACAGGTCATTGTTTTCTGAAAGTCTTTTATATATCCCATACAAAAACATGAAAGCATGTTTTTTTTGTTCAATAATACTAGCTTTTTCCTTAAAACTGTATTTTTCAATAAAACCATCTCTTCCATTTCCACATAAGAAATTAGAAGCTGTCTTTGACTGCCCTCTGGCTCTTGTAGAGGAACATAAGCACATCTGCATGTTTTAATATAAGGATACTTTCTTACGTAATAATTGACCATTAGTGGAGGAATTTAATGTGTATTTTACATAAGGAAAAGTTTAGTTTGGGTACCTCTTTCATTTCCTTCATGAATGTTGATGAATTTGTTTCAATTTCATCATCAGTACTGATTCTTGTAAAAATCTGTTCAGCAATTCTAAAGGAAGAATATTCTGCTGGAACATATGATCCTGTAAAATAAAAGGCCAATGTAAACTGAAATGCTTTTATAAAATATAAGTACTAATATTTTATACTTCTCACCAATTTAGATTATTAATAATCTTTGCTAATCCTTGCTAAGGCTAATAAATAATAGTGGAAAGATCACTGGATATACAGTCAGACAACATGGCGCCAGCTCTGTCATTTATCATATATCCTTGGGCAGTAATTAGATTCTCCCAGTCTCATCTTTCTCACATATAAATGGAAATACTTGACTTTACTATTGTACAAAGTTACCTGGAAGTTCAAGTAAGACAGTATAAATCCAAGTACGTTAGACAGATTTACTATAAACATCACAAAAATGTTAAATAATATGGTTAGATAAAAAACTCAAAATAGGAAAATGTGAAGGAAATGCTCATGAAGTTCAAGTTGATAAAACTGTTACAGAATGATGTATTAGGAAATATCTATTAGAAATGTGTAGAAAATGTGCTATGGTGAGTGCTGTGAAGCGTTTAAACATGGCGATTCACAGACCTGTACCCCTGGGGCTAATAATACGTTATATGTTTATAAAAAATTTTTAAAAATTATAAAAAAAAGAGAAATGTGTAGAAATACTCAGAACGAAAGCAAAACACTGAATTTTTTTAAAAGGTGAGTTTTCATCTCTGAGGATTTTTCTGCTTGAGAAGTTATCATACTAAATAATCTAAAATATTCACCTTTTGAAAGCAAATCAATCTGATTAATACAACTATCTCTATATGGAATGGGACATAAAAGGCATTCTAAAATCATACGGATAAAAATATACAAAGAGTTGAATGGGAAAATTATCAATCATATAGAACAAAATGGTGAAATAATGGGAATAAAGGAAACAAACCCCTGATTATTCCAGTATTTAAAACCAAGATAAGGATGAAGAGTAGCATCAACATCTAAGGAAATAGCAGGAAAAGAAAGCAAAAGTCAGGATAATGTTAACAAAAATAAAAGTAACAATAATAGCAATAGTAACCTCACAAGCAGATCTCTTAAATACAACTTTCTCACAGGATTTCTGGAAGGATTAAATGGGAAAATAAATGTGAAAGTACCAAGGAGAGGATATAGCATATATGGTAGATGTTCATACTTTTTCTTAGTTCATTTGTATTTACCACCACCAAAAAGGCCCTCTGACATTTTTAAATCTAAAAATTATTACAGAAGCACCCCCCCACCCTCCCACACACTGATATTTTGCTTCTGGTCTGGCTCTCCTCTAACAATATATCAGCCAGAATGATCTATGTGAAAGGCAAATACAATCATGTGATTCTCTTACTTAAATTTCAACAGCTCCCTACAGATTTTTGGATAAAGTTTTTATCTCTTCAGTGAAGTACCTAAGGCCCTTCATGATCTGGCTTTTGCCCACGTCTCTGGCTTCAGACACTGTTTGTTCTACAAAGGAATCTGGACTTCCTGTACTTCTGTGGGCACATCACACTGGGTTTTTTTTGGTTTGTCTTTGTTTGTTTGTTTTTGTTTTAGAATATGTTCTTACAGACTCTAAATGTCACAAAACAAACTGAGGGTTGGGGGGTAAGGAGAGGGTGGTGGAGTTATGGACATTGGGGAGGGTATGTGCTATGGTGAGTGTTGTGAAGTGTGTAAACATGGCGATTCACAGACCTGTACCCCTGGGGCTAATAATACATTATATGTTTATAAAAAAATTTTAAAAATTATTTAAAAAAAAAGAATATGTTCTTACCTCTGCCTGGAAAATCTCTTTCTTTCCTATACCCTTCCCTACATTCATAGTATTTTATATAATTATCTCACTTAATCATTTTTTAAAAAAGATTTCATTTATTTATTTATTTGACAGAGAGAGACACACAGCGAGAGAGGAACACAGGCAGGGGGAGTAGGAGAGGGAGAAGCAGGCTTCCCACTGAGCAGGGAGCCAGATGCGGCTCCATGGGGGGCTTGATCCCAGGAGCCTGGGATCATGACCTGAGCCAAAGGGCACCTTATCTCATTGTCTTTACAACAATTCTTAGAATTGGGTACTATTATAATTTTCATTTACAGATAAGAACACCAAGGAAGTTATTTGCCTTAGATCACAGAGCTAGTAACTAGACAAACAAGGTCTAGCTCCAAAGCCTATGGTCTTAATTTCCATGCCTTTCAAATTCTACTGTTTCCTTTATGATCACATTATGTGAGATACTGTATATACTTTTAGGTATTTTAAAAGTTTAAAATGAGTGACAAGAGAAGTAGAATAATTTTCTTCGAATATTTGAGGGGCTATTATCAAAAGAGATTTAGGTTATTCTGTGATGCATAGAAGATAAAAATTAGGACTATTGAGTAGAAGTTAAAGAAGGTCAGATTTCAAGTCAGTATAATAAATGCTCTAACAATTACAGATGTCCAACAATTGCATAGCTTGTTTTTTTTTAAAGGACAGAGCTCCTTATAACTATTAAAATAGAAATAAGATTACTATCACATATGTCACATATGAATCAGTTTCTTTATAAGAGGAGGGAAATTAGATGTCCTTTTCATTCCAATACAACTATAAACCCAATAAAATAGTTACTCTTCACCCATTCACCTCTGATTTTCTTTCCCAGTAGTAAGGGTAAATCTGCACTGTATCACCAATATTATTATTGTTGGATTCCACTTACAATTTATTACATTAGGTCAGGGTTTCTCAACCACCACACTACTAACAACCTGGGCTAGATAATCTTTCTTACATATGTCAGAGGGGAGGAGTAATGTCTTGTGCATTGTAGGATGTTCAGCAACATCTCTGGACTCTATACTTCCCTCAGCGTTAAGAACGAAAAATGTCTCCAGACATTGCCAAGTTTGGGGGCCAAGAGTGCAGTGGGGGAGGAACCAAAATCATCCCTGGTTGAGAACCACTGCATTAGAACAAATCATCTCATTTCTGATTCATAGAGTTCTCAAGGAAACCTTGTTTTCAGAGCTAAGTTATACCTGTACACCAAGAAATACATGACATTGTGGCGCCAATGACAGCTAATTCAATGTGTATGTATGCACACATAATGTGTATCAAGTGCTGTGCCCAAGTTACTGGTAGCCCTTAAATTAAGTAAAAGATGTTTCTTTCCCCAATGTTATAATTTGGAAAAATCTTAAATGAGTTATTAAAGGCAGCAGCTTATTCTACTTATTTTACTTTTTCTCACAACAAAGTTTGGTTTTGAATCAGAAATAAAGATATGATTCAGTTTAGTAAAAACTGATACAACATTAACAGTTATAGTAAGGTAGTTTTTACTTCTGTTACATCCTATAAAATTTTTAGTACAATGCAATCCAAATTGGATGGAGCTTAATCTACCAAGTAGTAAAAGTTATGATCTACATAATAGACACTATTATATTTTTAGGTAAGAAAACCTACTCCAAACTAATTAAGGCACCTGGATCTAAAATATTAGGCACAAAGCATTTTATTTTATTTTTTTTTTAAGATTTTATTTATTTGACAGACAGAGATCACAAGTAGGCAGAGAGGCAGGCAGAGAGAGAGAGGAGGAAGCAGGCCCCCTGAGGAGCAGAGAGCCTGATGTGGGACTCGATCCCAGAACCCTGAGATCATGACCTGAGGCGAAGGCAGAGGCTTAACCCACTGAGCCACCCAGGCGCCCAGCACAAAGCATTTTAAATGGGAAACAGAATTGCTAAGTATGAAGTAAAGCCATAACTTACCAATCTGGGCCATAATCTGACAAAGGGCAATCTGTTTTAAATATGTGGATTTCCCACTCATATTAGGTCCAGTTATGATCAAAAAATTACTTCCTTCTGTAATATAAGTATTGTTGGCTATAGGTTTTTCCACAGATATTTTTTCAAGAATGGGATGCCATCCCTGTTTGATTGCTAAAGTATCAGTAAATTCTGGTCGAACTAAAAAAAAAAAAAAAAAAAAGAATGGTTTCATAAGATTAATATATTTATGTTTAATGGTCTGTGTGGTGTGTATGTGTGATTTTACTATGGTCAATTTGGGACAAAGCATTAAGGTACTATTTTATCTTAAATCTCTACCAAAATTCCTCTAGATTGTAACTGACGCATTCTAATCACCATCACAACTTTTATTCACTTCCAGGGGACCCTAGGATTTAGTTCTTTGTCATTGTCCTGAGCTCCAAAATAGTCTGTGTAACATTTCCAGATTTATATAGATTAAAAAGAGTCAACTAGCCATTGATAATACCTTTTTTTAAAGGTTTTATTTATTTATTTGACAGAGAGAGAGAGAGAGAAAGAAAGAAAGAAAGGAAAAAAGAAAGAAAGAAAGAGTGGGCATAAGCAGGGGGAGCAGAAGAGGGAGAAGCAGGCTTCCTTCCAAGCAGGGAGCCCCATGTGGGGCTTGATCCCAGGACTCTGGGATGAATGACCTGAGCTGAAGGCAGCTGTTTAACTGACTGAGCCACCCAGGCACCCTGATAACACTTTTTTTTTTTTTTTTTTTTTTTGAGAGAAAGAGAGAGAGTGTGAGGTGAGCGGGGGAGAAGAAGAATCTCAAGCAGACTCCCCACTGATTGTGGAACCCAACATGGGACTCAATCTTATGACCATAGGATCATGGTCTGAGCTGAAATCAAGAGTCAGATGCTTAACAACTGAACCACCCAGGCATCCTGATAATACTTTCAAAATAACAATTAATTACCAGTACTACAAAATTGCACATTTACTTAATTCCCATCTTAGACTTTTTTTCAAATTTGGCATACTTAGCTTTTCAAGTGGTATATGGATATAAAATAGAACCAAATGTAAATATAATTTTATGTCCAGAAACTTACAGAAATTTTGTCTAAAAAGAATACCCAGATGATAGGCAAAACAGACACAAAATATATTAATTTATAGAAATAAATAAAGATCAGGTTTCTATGAATACCTTCCAAGGTAAAGGGAGGAAGACAGGACATGGGGACAAGGAAACACTAAATTCCTATATGCTTCTAAAAAAAAAAAAAAATCCTATATGCTTCTACAGGAAACACATGGATAAACTCAAAAGCATTCATTATAAGAGAGAGGGGTTGGTTAGAAAATAATTTTTAAACTAGTTTCAAAGTATTTTTAACACCAGAACTTATTATTTATAAGTCTGGGGTTTCAGGATGATCCCTCTCAAATTAAAATGGAGCAACATCAAATATCTTAATAGCTAAGAAAACTATTAAAAATATATGATATAATCCCTGATCTTAAGATGCTCACATCTAAAGAGCTAGTTTAGAAAATGCTCCCTTGGAGATTCATTTCTCTCATCTGCTCTGTCACACTGCTTCTCAGGAGTAATCAGACTTGAACTTCATCAATTTGGATCATTGTTATTTCCACCAAGGACGAAGATTTTCGGTCTTTCCTATTTGGGGAAACTTTCAAGTTTCTTGCAGTATTTCCTTTCTCACTTGTCAATTTCTCAGTAAGTAATTTTCTTACTTTTAAAATAAAATTTAAGAGTAATTTTACTTTATCTACTTTAAGTCTTAGTCTGAGACCATAGGCAAGAGACTATATTTCAGGTAAAAAAAGAAAGCATTCATAATTGTTAATAAAATTGTTTGGATGGAAGACAAATTTCAGTACCCAACATATTTATTCCAAAGAAAGTAACTTACCATAGTCAGAAAGAGTGCAGGCATGAGCAAATGACAGTAGCATATCCAGCATTGACACAGTATCAGATAGTTTATATAAGCAATGAATATGTTCATAAATCTCACTAAGCAGTTTGCACACTATCCTGAAAGTATACATTTGGAAGTCAGGTATTGATTTTAAAGAGGGACATACAATATAATTGTAAAACAATATCAAATGTATTGCCTAAGGTAAAATACCATTCACAGTTCAGTTGTATTCCACAGGTAAATCTATTGTTCTTTTGCCTCATTTTAGAGATTAGGAAATTGAAGTTCCTTGAGTTCAAGGAATTTGTAACAAGAATGCATCTTCTGGTATGTTAACATTATGTTTTAGAAATGACTGCTGATTATTAAATACTAATAAAATTAATTTTCATAATAAAATTATTTTATAGGTCAAACAAGACCTTAATATACTTCAACAGACCCCACCTGCTAATTATTTTGTGTTTTTTTGTAAATGTTAAATTCAACATAAAAGTTACTATATTCTCTCTCTTTCATAACACACACACACACACACACACACCCTAACAACGTAATTATTTAAGCTTTTATGTAGCAGAGGTGTTACACTGTGACATAATATAAAAGGTTTTCCTTGGAGCACCTGGCTGGCTCCCTTGGTAGAATATGTGACTCTTGGTCCGGTTATGAGTTCAAGAAAAAGAGTGTAGAGATTACTTAAAAAAAAAAAAAAAAAATCTTAAGGGGTGCCCGGGTGGCTCAGCTGGTTAAGCATCTGACTCTTGATACTAGCTCAAGGTCTTGGTTTTTCCCTTACGAGGAGAAATATGTTCCCCAGACCTATTAGATCTCATAATCTCTGCGGTCAATGCCCTGAAATTGTTTTGAAAGTCCAACATTTGTCTTTATCATCTCAGCTCATTGATTATGAATGATCATTTATTATTTTGCTAGGCCCTCCCTCACCCCACCCATGCTGTACTGCGACTGTTTCATGATCAGCAAAAGACTGGCACTATTGTAATTTTATATATGTATACGTATATATATATACGTATACATATATAAATGAAGTTCAGGGCTTGCATACCATAAGAAATGAATAACTGAATGAAACCCAAGATAAGCCCATCATGTGCCAAATTCTATATCATGGTAGAATGCGTACTATGGAAGTATTAAGTATAATGATTTTTTTTGTTTTTGTTTTTGCAATTGATTTGCCCTGAATCTTCTGTAAGGCTGAGCAATCCCAATCGCAATGACAGACTTTAAAAAGTTTTAACTGGGACGCCTGGGTGGCTCAGTTGGTTAAGTGGCTGCCTTCGGCTCAGGTCATGATCCCAGCGTCCTGGGATCGAGTCCCATATCGGGCTCCTTGCTCGGCAGGGAATCTGCTTTTCCCTCTGTCTCTGCCTGCCTCTCTGCCTACTTGTGATCTCTCTCTCTCTCTCTCTGACAAATGAATAAATAAAATCTTAAAAAAAAAAAAAATTAAAAGTTTTAACTGTTCTTCCAGGAAATGTTCTTTCTTTGCTAACAATTGTAATTTTATAATTTTCTACTATCAAACAAAAAGTCAATTAATGGAAATTTATTATAATGCTTCAAGTTGAACCAATTTAATATTTAAAAATTTCAAATGGGCTTACATATAAGTCATATGATAGATTTCTCTCAAAGATTCTTGACATCTTTCATTCATTTTAATTAAGTCTGCTGATGTAAAGGTATAAGAACTTTTCACTTTAGATATCTGCTAGGAAATTAATAAAATTTAAAAACTATCAAGATGTGTATACACTCCTATAAAATAAAACATACAGATTTTAAACAGTATAGATATTTAGGTTAATTAATTTTGGAGATAAAGCATCACAAATAAAGTCTCAAATAATGTCTGCAAAAAAGAAAAGAACACTTCTAAAGTTAAAGCACTTAAAGTTAACCTACAGTATTTTGGCACAACTATTTGAACAGGTCTTAAAATAGCTCTGCAGAAATGTCAGACAGTACATCTTATTATCCAGTAATATGCATGACAGATATCAGTAATTTTCACTCCATCTCTGACCCATCTTAGGCCTTGCCCCATATCTGAACCTCACTCAATTTCTAATCCCATTACCATATCTCAACCAATTCTTTGCTTTTTCTATCCCCCATTACCCGTTAATACAGTGTGTATTTAAAAACCCTAAAAGTTAAATGGTTTGTTTTTGTCAGAAGGTGCCCCCTGAGAGCACAGAAAACAAAATTAGAGTGGGTTAGATTTTCCCCAAACTGGTATATCATGAAGATGTGAGTATGTACTTAAGAAAAAATATTTCTCTGGTTCAAAGGTATGGCAATATTGGATTTTAAAAAGTTAGCAGATTTATTTCAGGATTTTTAAACCTTTAATAGGTAAATGTGCATTGAGAACTACCTAAGACAGGAGATGGTACAATATTTTCCAAATTCCTTTGATCAAAATATCTTTTGGACTTTTTTTATTTCCTTTTTTTTATACATACCAAGCTTCCAGAACTGTGGGATGCACTGTTTGGTGTTTCCCCCCAGAATAAGAAAATTAGAAGTTTCTAACTCAACTCTTACATTAGTATAACTGTCAGATTGACAGGAATAGGAAAGCAATATACAGAACATTTGAAAAATTTGGCATGTAAAATTCAAGGAATGTCTGAAAAAATGTAAAATGTATTTCAGAAAAAATAATTTCCAAACCAAAACTCTAAAATGAACCTTAATAAATTCTGAAGGAAGTCGATTATTGGGTAGAGCTGTATAGTCGGTAGTCATCTGAATGAAAAATCCTCGAGCAGAGCTAAAACTTGTCCTTAAAGGAAGACTATATTTTTCTGCAAGCTGTGATATCATTCCTAGTGACCAGAAACAAGAAAAACAGAAAGAATTTTAATGAGAACATTACTGTTTTTAAAAAATCATTTTTGTTTTTTTATATGTAAATAGGAAGGTCTTGCTACTCTTTTAAACTGTAAATATTTTTTTCTTTATTTACACATTTTTAACTTTATTTTCTTTTTTTCAGCATTCCAGTATTCATTGTTTATGCACCACACCCACTGCTCCATGCAATACATGCCCTCCTTAATACCCACCACCAGGCTCACCTAACTGCCCACCCCCCTCCCTTCCAAAACCCTCAGTTTGTTTCTGAGTCCACAGTCTCTCATGGTTCATCTCCCCCTCCAATTTCCCCCAACTCCCTTCTCCTCTCCTTCTCTCAATGTCCTCTGTGTTACTCCTTATGCTCCACAAGTAAGTGAAGCCATTATGATAACTGACTCTCTCTGCTTGACTTATTTCACTCAGCATAATCTCTTCCAGTCCTGTCCATGTTCATACAAAAGTTGGGTATTCATCCTTTCTGATGGAGGCATAATACTCCATTGTATATATGGACCATATCTTCTTTATCCACTGTAAAGATTTTTAATGTCTAACACATTGGTGGTCAAGTACTCTTTTAAGAAAAAAATTGGTAGTACAAAGATAGTCATTCTATAGGTAGGTAGTTTGAAAGTAAAAAAAAAAAACTTAAAAATTAAACTAAGACTATTTCATACTCTATTAGAATATGTTTCCATTCAACTTTTTAAAAAGTGAATAGTCATGTAAATTATTATAATCATTAGTTCAGAGTAAGAAATTCTCCCTACAAAACATATTTTGCAAAACAAAATATTCCAAAAAGGAAATGGTGATACAACAAATACTTAAAATACCCAAATTTTCCTATCAACTTCAAACTTACCAGAGTTCTAAATTTTTATTTATTTATTTATTTTAAAGATTTTATTTATTTGAGAGATGGAGATCACAAGTAGGCAGAGAAGCAGGCGGAGAGAGAAAAGGAAGCAGGCGGAGAGAGAAAAGGAAGCAGGCTCCCCGCTGAGCAGAGAGCCTGATGCAGGGCTCAATCCCAGGACCCTGGGATCACGACCTGAGCCGAAGACAGAGGCTTTAACCCACTGAGCCACCAGGTGCCCCGTAAATTTTTATTTTTAACTTGATGATCATTAATGCTTGGAACATTACTTGTGAAAATTAAGATTTTTATTCCTCAAAATAGTTCTTCCAACAATTTTCCTGCTTCTCTCAGTGATACCACTACTTTCAGGCTAGAAATTTCAATTAGCACCAATAGCTACATTTCCCTTTACTATGGCCATAACTACTCAATTATTAACTCATTTCAACATTTGCATTTCTCTCATATACACTGCTATCACTCAAATGTTTTAGCTTGTAATAGTTTAAAATGGTTTCCCTGTCTCCATTGCTCTACTCAAATTCATTCAACCAATCTTCTTGATCAATTTCACTCTACAGAGCAAAAATATCTCAGTGCCTCTGCATTCTCTAAGGAGAAAAAAAAAACCCCAAACGCCCAGCCTTCAAAGACAAATTCTGGTCCCCAGCCTACATTTCCAATCTTATCTCTTGCAAGTTCTGTCAGGGAATGCCCCATTCCATCCTAACCAATTTCCTTTCTCATCTGTTGAGGTTTCATTAGCCTTTGTGCTTTGGTTTGTACTACTGCCAGTATATAGGATTCCTTTCTAGGCTATTCTGTCTACTAAAAACATTCCCATCCTCTATACTTCCACACCTAATCAATCTCTGACCCCTATAACCTGCTATATTTTTCATCATATATTTATACCCATTGATATGATCTGATCTATGTGACTGATATACGCATCTATCTACCTATCTATACATATGAACACACACACACACACACACAAACACACTCACACATACACATTCTACACACAGGCATTTCTTTCTTGTCTGTCTTCCCTACTATAACATGAACTCCATGAAGACAGGGACTTTATCCTGTTCACAGTATAGTCCTAGTACCCAAAACAGTGTCCATATTTACAAGAAATTCCATAAAGTTGTTAAATGAAGTAGTACTTAACTAGAAATTAAATACAGTGGTAGTTGCTCAAATGTTACCTCTTCTAAACAAATATACCTCTTCCTCTGAAATCACTTAGTACTGACAGCCTGCATTTTTCATATATTTTATATACAATGTTATATGAAGGTAGACAAACATGTCCTGGTCTTCAGGTAACTCTAAGTTTGAAGAAACTCTATATTTAAGTTTGGAGAAAAAAATAGACACATTCTAACACTTATAGATACTTATTTTCAAAATGGTATTTTAATATATTTTAAATGACAGTGTTAACCTTATCTCTTTTGGTAACAAAATTTTAAAAATATGTGTGGCTTGTTATCACCAGCAGAAAAGCACATGTTCTAAAAAGGTTTAATTTAAGAAAAAATAGAAAAATACAGTGAAGTAATTAAATTACCTGCAATGTCATCTACAATCTCTGTATATGTTCTTCTAGCTATGTCAAGAAATTCATTTATGTTGGATCTCACTGCATAGCACTTCTGAGTCCTCATGTTCAGGCATCCTTTCATGTATCTTGCATCATCATTAATTACGGTTTTAATTTTTTCAAGTATGATTCCAAACCTAAAAAAGAACATTATAGGAAATAAGGCAAATGATTATTTTAATTTGTAATTTGAGTCACAGTTAATGACATATTTTCTTAGGATAAACAATTTTAAATATAACAACTTTTTCTTGAAATCTATTGAAAATTATTTAAATAATTTAGCAATGTATGTATATTACATTACATAAACTAGAACCATGACTATAAAAATTTTTAAATATTCTGTCAATCAGGACTAGTCTCTTAAAATAACATGAAGTCACCAGGAACAATTCTATAACTGCTAATAAAAAGCTCTCCCAAGGATGCCTGGGTGGCCCAGTCAGTTAAGCGTCTGCCTTTGGCTCAGGTCATGATCCCAGAGTCTTGGTAAACTGTCTAGCATTAGGCTCCTTGCTCAGCAGGGAGCCTGCTTCTCCCTCCACCTGCTGCTCCCCTTGCTGGTGCTCTCTCCCTTTCTCTGTCTCTGACAAATAAATAAAATCTTTTTAAAAAAATCTCCCAAGTTAAACCCCTGACTTTCCCTATGAGTACAAAACATATCCCTGAAGAACTGTTATAAAAATTCTGGCTTTGTGTTCATTAACTCAGTCAACATTTACTTATAGCATGTATGATCACTGTGTTCGGTGCACAGATCCAAAGAAGGATTAAGTGTTTGGTTCTTGCCTTCAGGTGGGGCCAGACAAACTAAACACATATTGTAAGACAGTGTAACAGAAACCTCACAATAATTAGTAATTAAGTACAGTGATCATGCAAACCAAAACTCTCGTAACACCTATTTTCCTAACCTTCTGTTTTATCCTGTTCTGTATGTTATTTGTAATTCTGTTTTATTATTAACCTCAGTTTGTGGCTCACAAAAGATGTGAATCCTGAATCAGTAAAATAACAGTTCTTAAGCATCACATGTCTTTTTGGTCAAAAAGCTAGATGTCACTGCTAAAAACATTATTAAAATTAAACTGTATTTAGATCTCTTATTCAATATTTATACCTACTATTTTTTGGTTACATCAAGCCCTTTATGATTTATAAGAGAAATATGTACTTTAATATTTTCAAGTCTTTCCATGGGGAATGGCTAAAAGAAGAAATATCAAAATTGTGTATGATTTCAATTTTTAATATTATTCTAATTGCCTATTAATACAAAAACTCAATGTGCTGTTACCCTATTTAGGGGTACTTATAAGATGTAATGTATAATTAGGACTTTGATGAATAGTTTAAAGATTGTTAACCAGAGTTCAAGTAATTGTTCTACTGATTACAGTTAGAGTCCTTAAAATCATTCATGATCAGGAAGAAAGGAATAATTAGCACGGATATTTAATTAACAGTTGAGTGACAAAGACCTCTTATCTTCCAAGGAACCACAGTAAGCTCTTAATAAAGGTGTGCTACAGTTCCTCAAAACAATCTGTTAAAAAATAAAATAAAGTTGGTTAAAAATAATAAATTATAACACTATTCAAACATAACATTTTACATTTAATACTTGCAGTTTACCAAGAGTTTTCTTGCTTCATCTCATTTGTATATTCATAAAAGATATTTTAGGTATGTAGGTGAGGACAGATGGTACCTCTCCCATTTTCCAGATAAAGAGCACCTGACTAATAAAGGGCATCCACTGCTTTACTATTATGACTTTAGTTTTTCTTGTCTTTCAACTAATTTTTAGCATTCAACTACTTATTAAAGTTAGGAATTTAAACAGCTATCATTGTACATTTAGAGTACTCTGCATATCATTCCAAAATGTGGGTTTTAAATATGCATTAAACTAAAAAAGTGCTTTGCATATTTATAAATAGAGCAATTTCTCCATTCTTATATGGCAAAAGTAGAAGTTTAATTTTGCTTAATGGAAACTATAATTGGTCACTATTTAAATACCTAGAAACAAGAGGAAAACAGTTAACATTTTTTAACTTAAAAATTTTTTTTCATTTATTTAAAGTTGATTAATTAATATACAGTGTATTATTAGCTTCAGAGGTAGAGTTTCATGATTCATCAGTTGCATGTAACATCCAGTGTTCATTACATCAAGTGTCCTCCTTAATGACCACCCAATTATCCCTTCCCCCCATCCACTCCACTCCAGTAACCCCCAGTTTGTTCCCTATAGTTAAGAGTCTCTTATGGTTTGCTTCGCTCTCCTTTTTCATCTTATTTTACTTTTCCTTCCCTTCCCCTAGGTTCATCTGTTTTGTTTTATAAATTCCACACGAATGAAATTATATGATATTTGTCCTTCTCTAACTGACTTATTTCATTCAGGGTAATAACCTCTAATTCCATCTACATGGTTGCAAATGACAAGATTTAATTGTTTCTGATGGCTGAGTAATATTTCATTGTATATATACACTGCATTTTCTTTACCCATTCATTTGTCAGTGGATATCTTGGCTCTTTTCATAGTTTGGCTATTGTGGACATTACTGCTATAAACATCAGGGTTCATGTGTCCTTTCAAATCACTGTTTGTATCCTCTGGAAAAATACCTAGTAGTACAATCGCTGGGTAATAGGGTAGCTCTATTTTTAACTTTTTGAGGACCTCCATACTGTTGTCCAGAGTGGCTGCACCAGCTTGCATTCCTACCATCAGTTTAAGAAGATTCCCCTTTGGGCGCCTGGGTGGCTCAGTGGGTTAAGCCTCTGCCTTCGGCTCAGGTCATGATCTCAGGGTCCTGGGATCGAGTCCCGCATCGGGCTCTCTGCTCGGCAGGGAGCCTGCTTCCTTCTCTCTCTCTGCCTGCCTCTCTGTCTACTTGTGATCTCTGTCTGTCAAATAAATAAATAAAATCTTTAAAAAAAAAAAAAAAAAAAAAAAAAAAAAGAAGATTCCCCTTTCTCTGCATTCTCACCACCATTTGTTGTTTCCTCACTTGTTAATTTTAGCCATCCTGACTGGTGTGAGGTGGTATCTCATTGTGGTTTGATTTGTATTTCCCTGATGATGAATGATGCTGAACATCTTTTCATATGTCTGTTGGCTATTTGGAAGTCTTCTTGGAGAAATTCATAAAAGCATAAAGAAAAACATTTAAATTGCTTATAATTCTACCAACCTTCCAAATAAATTACTTAAATATTATGGTACATTTCCTGTCATTTCCTCAAATAAAAAAAAAATTATCATTGCACATTCCTTTTCTCCCCTACTTAATACTATATCACAAGAATTAGAAACTTTTAATAGCATAAATTTTAATAAGTCATAATATTTTACCCTTTAGAAAACAAACAGTCTCTTCCCCTAATAATTGGAGGTCTATACTACTTAGAATTTCTAATATAAATCATGTTGCAATGACCATAACTGGGCATAAATTGTCAGTATTTCTTGAGTTCTTTTGGACAGATTTCTAGTATTGTAACACTGTCAAAAGACAGATGTTGTAAAACTTCCCTGTGAAGTATGTACAATTTGTACTCCTACCAGCTGTCTTTGAAGTTTGTCTCACTCTTCTCTTAGTAGCAGTAAATTGTATCTATTAAGGAGAAAAACAAACAAAAAAACCTAAAATTTTGCTTCTTTTGTATATTAATGACTTTAATTTGTATTTCTTTGACTAAGAGTAAGGTTGAACATGTTTGGTACTATTTATTAACCTCTTTGATTTTCATTTTGGGGGCATTTTCTGTATTTCTATTGGTATTCTAGTATTCTCTTATGAAATTACATGAGTTTTATGACAGAAATTAATATTTTATCTGTCAAATGCTACAAATTTTTCCTAACTTTCTTTGGCCTTTACTTTCCTTTGACATATCAAAGCTTCAGATTTGGGGCACCTGGGTGGCTCAGTGGGTTAAGCCTCTGCCTTTGGCTCAGGGCATGGTCCCAGGACCCTGGGATCGAGCTCCACACTGGGCTCCCTGCTCAGCAGGGAGCCTGCTTCCTCCTCTCTCTCTGCCTGCCTCTCTGCCTACTTGTGATCTGTCTGTCAAATAAATAAATAAAATCATTTTTTTAAAAAAAAGCTTCAAATTTGTGTTTTATTGAATCTATCAATTTTGGGGGATGATTTATTATACCTCTCTCATTCTAAGAAAGATGACATTTTTTACATCTTTTGTCAAATTGCTTTCATTATATATTTTTTAGAATGAAATCTACAACAAATTCTTCCAGATTTTTCATTATTTTTTTCTTTTAAAAAAGCAGTTCTTCCTTGTCACCTTAAGTTTTAAAAAATGTTTTGCACAGGGGTTCCTGGCTGGCTCAGTCAGCAGAGCATGGGGACTTTTGATCTCAGGGCTGTGAGTTATAGACCCATGTTGGGTAGAGAGATTACTTAAATAAATAAATGTTTTAAAAAAGTTTTGCACAGTAGAATATTTAAAAACATATTAGAAAATCACATCAGAAATATTTCAGGTAAGAGTAATCAATGAATGAAGTGAAATCACTGAGTGAAAGTTTAATGAGGAACAGGATATTTACATAGTCTCAAAGTATCTCTCCACAGATTACTTAATAACTTTACAGTGAAGAAATGGATCAAAGTTAATATCACCAGAATGGGGAATGGGGAATGACATCATGTGTCATCATGACATCATGATGTGAGGTACTGAGAAAAATACAACATTGCTCATAGAGTATTACTGCTAAATATAATAAGCTGAATTTAATCATGAGAAAATAACCACACAAATTGAGGAATATTCTATAAAATAAGATACTTTTCAAGATGTTAATATAATGAAAGACAAAGAAAGGATGAGAAACCTTAAGCTGAAAAGAGGTATAAAGAAACATGACATTAGGGGCTCCAGGGTAGCTCAGTCAGTTAAGCACCTCCTTCCAATTAGGTCACAATCCCAGGATCCTGGGATTAGCCCCACATCAGGCTTCCTGCTCAGCAGGGAGTCTGCTTCTCCTTCTCTCTCTGCCCCTCCCCTTGCTCATGCTCTCTCCTGCTCACTCACTCTCCCTCAATAAATAAATAAAATCTTTTTAAAAATGACATTAAATTTCCCTGATAACTAGTGATGATGAACATTTTTTCATTAGTCTGTTGGCCATTTGTATGTCTTCTTTGGAGAAGTGTCTGTTCATGTCTTCTGCCCATTTTTTGACATGATTATGTGTTTTTTGGGTGTTGAGTTTGAGGAGTTCTTTATAGATCTTGGATATTAGCCCTTTGTCTGTAGTGTCATTTGCAAATATCTTCTCCCATTTCATGGGTTGCCTCTTTGTTTTGTTGACTGTTTCCTTTGGTGTACAGAAGCTTTTTATCTTGATGAAATCCCAAAAGTTTATTAGCCATCAGGAAAATTCAAATCAAAACCACATTGCGATATCACCTTACACCAGTTAGAACAGCCAAAATCAATAGGACTGGAAACAACAAGTGTTGGAGAGGATGTGGAGAAAGGGGAACCCTCTTACACTGTTGGTAGGAATGCAATTTGGTGCAGCCACTTTGGAAAACAATGTGGAGATTCCTCAAAAAATTAAAAACAGAGTTACCCTATGACCCTGCAATTGCACTACTGGGTATTACCCCAAAGATACAGATGTAGTGAAAAGAAGGGCCATATGTACCCTAATGTTCAAAACAGCAATGTCCACAATTGCCAAACTGTGGAAAGAACAAACATGCCCTTCAACAGACAAGTGGATAAAGATGTGGTCCATATATACAATGGGATATGATGCAGCCATCAAAAAGGATGAATACCCAACTTTTCTATCAACATGGACAGGACTGGAGGAGATTATGCTGAGTGAAATAAGTCAAACAGAGAGAGTCAATTATCATATGGTTTCACTTACTTGTGGTGCATAAGGAATAACATGGAGGACATTAAGAGAAAGAAAGGAAAAGTGAATTGGGAGAAACTGGAGAGGGAGACAAAGCATGATAGACTGTGGACTCTGAAAAACAAACTGAGGGTTTTGGAAGCGGGGGGATGGTTGAGACTGGTTGTGGGTATTAAGGAGGGCACATACTACCCAGAGCACTGGGTGTGGTGTATAAACAGTGAATCTTGGAACACTGAAAAAAACAAAATTAAATTAAGATGTTAAAAAAATGACATTAAATACAATGAATGGACCTGGACTGGACCCTGTATCAAGAAAAAAAATCCATTAAAAAATTAGTAAAACAATTAGAAATTTTGAGTATGGACTATATATAATAATATTGGATCAATTTTAAATATCCTAAATTTTTAAATTATATTGTGGTTATGTAAGAGAACACCTTTGATCTTAGGATATACACATGTTAGTATTTAGGTACTGCAATTTTCAAATAGTTGAATAAGAGTAATAATAAGAATATAATATGTAGTGAGTGCTGTGTGTATATGGAAAGAATTTGGGAATTCATTATTCTATTCTTGTAACTTTATCTAAATTTGAAATTTTTTGAAATAAAAAGTTTTTTTAAAAAATTAAGGCTACCAATGTTTTGTACAATATACACCATATAAATTACCTTTAAAGGATCCACAAGTTCCAAGGTATGTTTTAGGTATATTAGATTTGTTATCTTTGATTCCGCTGCATTAACCTATTAAAATAAAGATCCAAATGTGGATACCATAAATATACAAGAATAGATTTTCTCCTGAACATTCTACACTTACCATACTCATACATTTTTATTTATCAACATACCCAGTACGCCAGCATAGACAGAAGTTACAGTTACTGACACATCACAATAAGCCTAGTGCACTATTTTCCTGGAAGTCTGACAATAAGAAGAGTTCACCTCATTGTATTCAACTTCCATTTCTACTTCAGCCCCTCAGGTCCAGCTTAACCTAAGTGGTGATAGGAGGTAGAGTTCAATCCTGAGCAGTACTAAGAGACTAATGTTAATTGAAGAAGGCACAAAGGGTATTTGTGAAAGATGATATTTGAAAAGCTTAATCTGAAACTCCCAGGCAGTTACAGAACAACACAAAGCTCCCTCACTGGTTCCTGTTTGTGTGAGTAAAACAATTTTCAGAGTTCCAGTTGTCCAAATTAATTAGGTTTTCAAAATAAAGCAACATCAACATTTAAAATTTCATAAATAAACTTTTAAAAATTAAATTGTAGTATCTCTAGAACAAAAGAGTAGTATTAAACCTTGGGAAATGAAGAATATTTTGTGAATGGACAAATCTACCAATACTGACAAGGAGTTTTAGGATATTACATTATGATATAATAATGTACTTGATATAGTGTTTTTTCTTTTTGCAGTCTCCTGACCTATATCCCTATTGCACAATACCTAGACTGTTTGGTGACTACATGAACCAATTTAAAAGAAATACCAAAATGAATGTTGCAAGCCCCAAAACAAGTTACTGCAGACTTTCTTACAATGGATCTCTGAAACTGGAAGATTAAAAATAAATAATATTCACCAAACAGAAGACAACCATCACCCCTGTTACCAAAGGAGAATATCTTACAAAAATACCATTTTACCTCTGAAGAAGAACAAGATAGAAGGACTAACTCTAATAAATATCAGCCTATAATAAAGTTAGACCAATTAAGAAATGATAGTATCAGCATAAGGACAGGCAGAGCAATCAATGCAACAGAATAAGGAATCTAGAAACAGACTCAAACATATGATTTCAGCCAAACATTTCATTTATAACAACGGTTGACTAAAGAGTAATGGAGAAAGGACAGTTTTTTCTACAAATGGTGTCAGTTAGATTATGAATCTGTATGAAAAAAAGGAAATGTGGTCCCTTCCTCACACCAAACACAAATACCAATTCCATATGGATTATACGTCTAAATACAAGAGGTAAAACAATAAAACATCTGGAATATAACAAAGAAGAGTATCTTCACTATCCTGGGTGTTCTTACCAACTTTAATAAATTTGATAACTAATGAATTACAGGGCCAAACTAATAGCCAAAGTTTTTTATATCTCTCCTATGGTCTGGCTTTTGTCAATGCACAGATTATCATATTACAAACCCTGCAATCATAAACTCCAATGTCTGTGTTTTGCTTCCTACTCAGTAGGGGACATTCCCGCCTAATAACTACCCACTACTGTACTAATGTTTTCCCCTCACTCCTTCTGACTCCTGACCATGTGACGCTATGTGGCATGATTTCTCCTCTCAAAATTATAAGTAATAAAAATCTTTTAATGGCCTCAGCCTCTCCATGTCATCACTTAGTCATTTCCATAAATTAAAATCCCCTGGGTACAATCAAGCCACTGGGGTAGGTAAAGACTTCTTATGCAGAATACAACAACCACAATAAAAGAAAAAACATAAACTAGCCTACATTTAGATTAAGAACTTCTAATAAGGCAGAGAAAGACAATGAGGATCTTACTTATATGTAGAATCTAAAAACAAAAAAACAAGCTCATAACGCAGAGAACACAATGGGGGCTGCCAGAAAGGCAGTAGGGGGTGAGTAAAATGGAAGGAGGACAAACCTCCAGATATAAAATAATTAAGTAATGAGGATTTAATGGACAGCATGGTGACTACAGTTAATAATACTATATTGCATATTTGAAAGTTGCTGAGAGAGTAGATCTTAAAAGTCCTCACCAAAAAAAAAAAAAAAGCATATATGGGGATGGGTGTTAAGTAGATTTAATGTGGCAATCATTGTACAATACATACAAATAACAAATCATAAAAAAAAAAAGAACTTCTGGGGTGCCTGGGTGGCTCAGTGGGTTAAAGCCTCTGCCTTCGGCTCAGGTCATGATTCCAGGGTCCTGGGATCAAGTCCTATATTGGGCTCTCTGCTCAGCAGGGAGCCTGCTTCCCTCTCTCGCTCTCTGCCTGCCTCTCTGCCTACTTCTGATCTCTGTCTGTCAAATAAATAAATAAAATCTTTCAAAAAAAAAAAGAACTTTTATTTATCAAAAGGCATTATTGATCTAGGATAGGTTCTCCAAAAGCCAACTCAGAGAAATTAGAATTTGAGGACATATAATTTATTTGAAAAGTAATTCCAGTAGGTACAGGCAAGAGAATAGGAAAGGGCAGCAATACAAGATACACTGATGAGGAGGAGTCAAGATGGTGGAGAAGTAGCAGGCTGACACTACAGCCTGCTAAAGTACATCAGGTAGCAGGAGATCAGCTAGATAGCTTATCAAACCATTGCAAACACCTACGAATCCAAAGGGAGATTGAAGAGAAGAAGAACAGCAATTCTAGAAACAGAAAATTGACCACTTCTGAAAGGTAGGACCGGCGGAGAAGTGAATCCAAAGCAACGGGAAGTTAGACCGCGGTGGGAGGAGCCAGCTCTGGCAAACGGCGGAGCAATGGAGCACAAAATCAGGACTGTTAAAAGTCTGCTCCACTGAGGGACATAGCTCCAGAGGCTAAACCGGGGTGAAGCCCACGCAGGGCCAGCGTGGCCCTAGGTCCTGCAGGGTCACAGAAGGATAGGGGGTGTCTGAGTGTAGCAGAGCTCGCAGGTATTAGACCAGGAAAGTTGGCGACAGAGACAGAGCCGAGGAGTGAGCTCTCAGCTCGGGGTTACCTTGAACCGGTCGCAGGCTCAATGAGCTCAAAGCAAGGCCAGAGGCCAGGGAGATGGGAGTGATTGGGCTCTTTTCTCTGAGGGAGCACTGAGGGGTGGGGCCCCAAGCTCTCGGCTCCTCTGGGCAGGAGACAGGGAGGCCGCCAATTTCATTCCTGTCCTCCAGAACTCTACGGAAAGCGTTCAGGGGACAAAAGCTCCCAAAAGCGAACCCGAGCTGATTACTCAGCCCGGCCCCTGGTAAAGGGGGGCAATTCCACCTGGGGCAAAGACACTTGAGACTCACTACAATAGCCCCCTCCTCCAGAAGATCAACAAGAAATCCAGCCAGGACCAAGTTCACCTACCAAGGAGAGCGGCGGAATTCCAGAGGAGGAGAGAGCAAAGCACGGAACTCATGGCTTTCTCCCCATGATTCTTTAGTCTTGCAGTTAATTTAATTTTTTTTAATTTTATTTATTTTTTTCTTCTGCTAAATTTTTTTTAACTTTGACCCTTTTCTTTTTTAATGTTTTTTTAACTAGTTTATCTAATATGTGTATATATATATCTTTTTTATATTTTTTCTTTATTCGTTTTCTTTT